TAAATGGGTGGAAGCTTTTATCAAAGTGGTTGGAACTAAATAAATACCCTATTGTTCTTGATAACAGGTAATTTACTTAAAGTGACGACAACCACAACTGCTACAACAACAGTTAGCACAACAAAGACTCCGAACACTTGACTGGACTTCTGGTTTGACTTAACAATTCCGCAGAGCATCGGGCTTCGACTTTGTTTGACACACGATAATCTGAAGGCGCGCTGAGGAAAAACGTCTAAGCACACAAAGTAACGAGTTCACATGTTCAAGTTCGCAGATACTTTTTAATTAATAATCAATTTATGATTAATGCAAAAAACTTACTAGAATGTCAGCGCAGCAAAGCAATCACAGCTGATTTGCAATTTCCAACCGAAAGTCCGAGGTGAAATAGATTTTTTTGTTTGCGGGATGTAATTGATTTCTGTGGACTTTGTGCCATTGTTGGCGAGTGCACATGCACTGATAGTGCACCTGCATGCACTCGCTCGCCCTGATTACAACGTTTTGAACTCGTTTTGAACGTTTTCATTTTGCACAACGGACAGAGTTGCCAGACCATAAAATTAATACATAAAACTAGTTTCAAGCTTTTCAGAAATCGCAAAATGCTCATGATTTCAAAGTATTTACACTACATATCCCTCATTACTCTCAAAATCGTTTATTTACACTTATGGTGAACTTATTAAACTAATCATTTCCTAGGTCTGAAGTGAGAAACCAATGCACATATATAATATTGTTAGCAGATTTAATTGTAAAGTTGTCAGGTTATTTATCCAGTTATTTATCGTTTTCAACACGTTGTAAGAACTTTTGAGAAGAGAAAATAAATCAAACTTAATGGAATATAACTTACGTTTTCCTTTTCGCTTATCATTGATTACGCCTTCATTCTTAAACATCACTGAAAAACTCTTAGGCACTCTTGGGTCAATCAAACTATCTCACTAAAAAGCATTGCATGCATTTCAATAAGATCTTTTTGAAACCAGAAGAAGTCTGTTGAGTCCAAGTTGAATTTAACTGATGACCGTTAATATTTTACAGAACTAAACATGTTCCTAACATCTGGGCCACCAGATGTCGTGCCTACGAAATACCAAAATAAAGTGCAATTTGCCATGGAACTGTACTGATTCTTTCACATCATCAGAATTACTCATAATTTCAAAAAAGAAAGTATTATAATATGTTGTATGTTATTATGTTACTTATAATACTGATAATACTATAATACTATGTTGTATAATATTTATTTACTATATAAATATAGGAATATTTTCATATCAATAATTACTATGAAAATTTGTCATTTCCATTCACATATGTATACTTCTATATAAAGAAATATTCAGAAGATATTTACTATATTATGAGTCCTACATGGGATATCTATTTAATTTTATATGTATCCGCCGAATCTAACTGAGTCCAGATCACGAACAACTGGGATCTGAAACCAAATTTATCAATAACTTTAATTTGTCCAGATTAACTTATGAGACTCTTTCCAAAGGTAAAACAATAGGTCTCATACACCGCAGTGTAATATCGTGCCTTCGAATATGACTCTGTTATATATCATATATGACATATATGTATCAACATCCAGACGGATAAATAATATCATTAAATCGAGTTATTTTGTCATTTTTGCTTATATCGAATCATTCAAAAATAAGTTATAAAGAACACTGGGAAACGGTTGTTTTTTGGGTTTATGATATTTTATAGACGTGAATCATATTTTTTATTTGATTAGAATTTATACCAAATATGGTAACCCTAAAATTTAATTGAAGGACGTCATCATATTTGCTTAGATGAGAAATAAATAAAATTTTATTTTTAATAAGTAAAATTTATTCTCTAAACAAATCTGTTCAATTACTCAAAATTCTATTAATCCAAATCAAATCATTTTCATTTTCATTAAATTTTTTTCATTTGAACAACAGAGTTTCTTGACGTTAATATTAGTATGTCTATCAACTGTATGTATATCAATTGTTTGAACCATATATGAGATACCAAATAAATGAGGTCGTTGACTATAATTTTTACCATTTGCAGAACCTGAAACACGAGGGTCACTATATATATTTTGAGCCTAATAATAGAAAAGTACTAACTTGTCTTTAAAAATTGATTTATTGTTTATCGTACCATTCGTTCGAACCATTATTCAAAACATTTTTTCCAGTCTTCTTCAGACACCTCCAAAAAATGCTTTTTATATGCAACAACGTCTTATTCCATCGACAAAAATCGTTGTCCACACAATTTATTCTTGACGTTCGGGAAGAAAGAGAAGTCATTAAGTGCCAAAGCAGGACAACATCGCGGATGACCCATAAATTCAGTTTTTTGAATGTTCAAATACGAGTAGTCGGTTGTTAGACGAGATGTATTTGCACTCGCAGTGTCTGGATGGAGAATGATCCGACGACGCTTGTATTAATGATCCGATTAAAATTTTTGTAGATTTGTTATTTATTTATTTCTTTATTCTTATCGAGAAAACGTTATTACCATATCGGTTTCAGTCTTACAGGTGCTCGAGCGCTTCGAAAAATCAGTTCAGAGCGTTATCAGTTCTTTGAGTTCTTATCAGACGTTTGGGAATGTTTTCGGTCATTTTCATTGTTAACTGCGAAATGACAAATTGTTTTTTATTAATGAAATAAAGTACGATATATTGTTTCAAAATAAGTAAGTAGGTAAGTAACAATCAATTAAATGTCGAATGTCAATTGCGGTAAATGAATGCAAATGGATTACACATAACATGTTCAGTATCCTAACATACTACAGCGTTTTAATAGTGTTGTTAATATACATTATAAAATCTAAAGCAATCTATAGAAATCTATATAAATACGAATAACACAAAGTATCTACATAGCTGTCATTTTACATATCCAAAAAAAAGCGAAAATACCAGCTAAGCAAAAGTTACCGGTTTCATCGCTTCAGAGAGGTTCCAATGACGAAGCGCGCACCTGTTTTTTCTTTTTTTTTAATTTTTTAAGTGATTGCATGACATTTCTGTTATTTGGATTCGATAGGTAATGCGATACGCAGAGGTATCGACTATTGTGTACTTCCATAATCATTCGACTTCCAAACGTTTTGTTCGATTTGATAACGCGTCCAGGCCAATTGCCAATTAAGGTAACAGTTCAAGCGTTGAATTCCGCAGTGCCGTGAAAACTGATTTCACGTGAATTAAACGATTAAATTCTTATTTGTTTTGCAAATCGAAATTAATTATTAAGAAAATTGAAAAGCAATTATTTTGTACTATTTCAATTATTTAAAATAGCAACTCATCCAAATAACTAATCGTTAATAATCGATTTGAACGACTAAAATAATGGCTGGACTCATTCGATGTATAGATCATTGCTTTTGTTAATAACTTTTCCATATTATTCTATATATCTAAGGTTAATAGCTTTAATATATTTAATGTATGGATCATATCTCGTTAATCGAAACACGAAAAGACTAAAGCATCAACAACATCATTTATGAAACCAATATACACTAAAAATGGCTTTAAGGCAATTCAAATAATTTACATCCATTAAGAGCTGGACTAAATTAAAAATAACTTATTAATTTTGGTCGAAATTCGATACCATAAAATGTGTCTCTGACTGTAATTTCTTAATTCAATAACAATTGAAATTCAGTCTCAATTATCTTCGTTTACAGCTAATTTAATATTTACTTACATTCATACTTTAATGTTTACAAACACTAGAATACTGGCAGCACCATCACCTACTGCGCTCCCTTCGGCACCTTAGACTGATTCTCTGAGTCACTTCCTCCACCAACTGTGTCGCGAGTTTTAGAGCATCGAATGATAAATATTCGTCTAAGTTTTTCTTCAATTTATAGATCAATACAGACCCCTTCTGCTGATCACATTTACCATAAGAACATTTCCACTTTCCAATCTTATAATGAAATTCCTGCTATATTTCCTAGCTTATTCTTCGTTAAAACCAAACAATCCTTATAGAGTACAAGTCCCCAAAAGTATTTGAAATCTGATACAACCGGTAGGTTTTTCCAGTATAATCTTGTTCGTTCTTCCTCACTGAGCTTACCTTGGCTACGCATTCAACGCTCGATCTGATTAAGAACCGAAGATTTGGGCATGAGAAATCCTTATGCGTGTTAAACGATTAATGCCATCATTTTAAAGACTTCTAACACTTTATTAGCATAAATTCGGTACTATTAGTGACACGCAAGTCCATCACTATTTATTTATTATGGGTTTTTCGAATAACCGTTTTATTTCTAAATACGCTTAAAATTAGTAAATGACGAAAGAAACGAAAGCAAATACTGCAAAATAATCACGTCGACTTTCCCCTTTCAGTAGCCATATTATTAATTTAACTCACTTGAGATCTCAACCTGAGGTCAACGAAAAGTAAAACTCGACTTTTGGAAAAATTGGCGGCTCCATTTTCCAGACCTTGACATAAGTCCGATGTTTAAATCTTTTTCCTATTCCTTTTTCTATTTTTTCAAAATTTTTGTCAAATTATTTTATTAATTTTTTTAAAGGTTTTTGGAAAGTTTAACAAGCTATCCGCTTGCCTTAACAGGCACAAGAGTCGCACTCATTCAGGCACATAGAATATGTGCCTTGTGAAATTTACAGCGACCGAAGAAAGAGTGGTTATCATAAGTATTATAAAGTGTGGTAAATAATAATTGTTCAACTCCTAAAAACTAAGAAATTAAGTCCAGGAATTTACATTATTACAACAAACCCCACAAATATCTCCAATAAATCATTAAAAGTGGAGAAGGATTTTCGTAAGAAGAATTTTTTATTACTACTACTAAAATATCTAATATTCTTCCCAACTTTGGTCGTATTAACTTTGATTCTTATAATATATGTTAAAAAAAAAATATATACATGTTTATAAAAAAAAAATTTTAGAATATATATTTCACAAAATTCACATCAGTTGCACAATTTTGGTTATCTTTCCAGTTCCAACTTTTCCAAATTTTACAGTTAAGTACAAATCTCTTATTACTATGTTGCAGATAGAGGAAATCGATCGTTTACCCTTAGCCGAAATAATCAGCAGATTCCGAAGGACTAACTTGAGCAAAGCTTTATCGGCAGCTAGAAGTATTTTGCCGCTATCACATCAAGTGATCATATTTCACCTCGCTGCGGAACCAAATCTGTTTGAGATGAAGATATATAACCCATGGGGTAACACACACATTATTGGCAAAACTCTCTGTAATGCAATGTCCATTGAGTTAATGCAGCATATACCAGATTATGAAATTTGTCGAATATCTTATGTGTCCCGATACATTACGGAGGAGATGTCGCTACACATAGCCACAAATATTGCTGAACAGCATATAGAATATTTGCTGCAATTAACTTATTTGGATGTAGGTTTTGACGATGAAATTTTTGATGATGAAGAAGTCGGCGATGACTTTAACACCGGTCCGCATCAAGGTAATGGAGATAGTTTACCGCTCCCTATACAAGCAAACGTGGAAGTTCACGCTCATTTTGAGGAAGGTTAGATGTTGTGGATGAAATAGCGATTTCAGCAAGAAGTGCTATCAAAACTAGGAGGAATTAATGACACTTCACAAAGGTTTACAAAAATAATTATAATCTGCTTACTACGTCTATCATGTAAGTATAACAGGTTCACAAGAAATAGAGTTAAAAAAATAACAACAATGAGCTCGTAAAATTAACGAATCGGTGACATCATGAAATAGGGAAATTAGATATGGTTGGAAATATTACATGGAAAGTTTGAACAGTTCAAAGCCTTTAACTTTAATTCCGACATAAAAGTATTGTAGATCTTACAAACATCTTGAATTTACCTTGCAGAAATCCTCCAAAAACTCAAGTTTCATATCCCCGTAAATGTGCCTGGGCGTGTCACCAATCAAAATGAGCCAAGTTTATGGTTTCTTGGTCTTTTTACAACATCCGAATCATTACAATTTGGGCATAACTTATTCTGTAAATGTTTTTTTTGGCGAAAACGATGTCGACGATATAGTTAACTCTGGACCGTGTTGGGGCTACTAACGTACGGTAAGTTACTGAACACTGTCAAAGCAAACATCGCTGTAAATGCGCATTACACAAGATTAGATATTGAGGATCACGTCACAACATGTCATTATGCGTATCAACAGTCTTGTGCATCTTGGCGTTTTCGCAACATCCGAATTAGTCGGGGTCCAAGCTGTGCGCTTCAAAACTATTATTGGATTTTTAGAAATAATTCAGTGGCTGATCCGTTATGTTTAATATAACAGACCAATGTTCGTAAAAATATAACACATAACAAATATAAATTCATTTATATATTGACTTCCAGGCTACCCACGACAACTTGCTGTTTAACACAATGAGAGAATTCAGAAGGCACAGTAACATCTGAATCTGAACGTGATGTTATGAAAGATGTTGATTGTATAGTAATTTCACAAAATGCTCCCAAACACATCTGCAAGATTAATCCAGAAAAGCTGTAATACCATATATTTTGCAAACAGTGCATCAACCTTTTGTCTACCTCACTGCCTTGTTGAGATTAAAGTGGAACATTACCTAAGTATGATCCATAAACCTATTTGAATGGAAAATACTAACACAAAATTTAATGAAAATCTTTTGAGTTCCGGAACTATATTTTAGAACAAAAACTTCAAATATTCGAAAATTAGTTGAAGATTGAATCAATGGCAGCAGCTGGCATAAAAGGATATCAGCACTATTAAGTAAGCGTTTTCAATTATTTGATGGTTATTAAATTAACACAGACTCTAAATATTCCTAGTCTTAATAACCATCTCAAAACCGAGTAAGATGTACAACCTTGTTATTGTAAACCAGAAGCTTAAGGTATTCATTGGTTTTTGGCGAAAACAGAGAGATATGGAGGCAGATATGCAGTTGCCAGTTAAGGTACGACTTATTTAGTCTCTGATGGCCACTATCGTTGATGTAAACATTATAGTACATCTAAATTTCGTCTTAAAACTTCAAAACAAAGAACATGAACTTCATAATGTTTACATTGGATCATTTAATTATAAACAGTCTGCTTAACATGTAATGATTTATCGTTAAAAAAATCAATATTCTAAACATTTTATGATATTTACAAAACAAGTCTGTATTTACACATTATATTTTTTTTCACATTAAATATGACTGATCCCATCATTTCAATAGTGCAAAATCAGTAAATAACATTAAAGTATTTGGTGTTTTATTCAAACTTGAACGGTTTCCTCACATTATACTGAACACTTACAGTATTAGGTACCTCAGTCCCATAGTAGGTAAGGAAAGACATTTAAGAAGAGCTAAAAAGGAAAGGCCTATGTTGGAATATTGATTCAATAGTTTATTTGTTTACTTTGTAATTTATTTGAAATGTATGCATGCACATACATAATCTGTGATCTGTATGTACAGGGTATTTCCTAAAAAAGTGAAGAAAGCTTACGTGGTTCAAGAATCGAAAATAAATCATAAAAGAAGTGGTTCATCTTCGACACTTCCTAAAATAGAGATAGAGTCTTACTAAAAAAATCTTCAAACTAAAAAATCGCCGCTGTAAAAACGGTTCATTTAAGTTTATCTATCTACCTATCTATCTATCTATCTATCTATCTATCTATCTATCTATCTATCTATCTATCTATCTATCTATCTATCTATCTATCTATCCATCTATCTATCCATCTATCTATCTATCTATCTATCTATCTATCTATCTATCTATCTATCTATCTATCTATCTATCTATCTATCTATCTATCTATCTATCTATCTATCTATCTATCTATCTATCTATCTATCTATCTATCTATCTATCTATCTATCTATCTATCTATCTATCTATCTATCTATCTATCTATCTATCTATCTATCTATCTATCATATCTATCTATCTATCTATCTATCTATCTATCTATCTATCTATCTATCTATCTATCTATCTATCTATCTATCTATCTATCTATCTATCTATCTATCTATCTATCTATCTATCTATCTATCTATCAATCGATCTATCTATCTATCTATCTATCTATCTATCTATCTATCTATCTATCTATCTATCTATCTATCTATCTATCTATCTATCTATCTATCTCACTTAATCCTAAGCAATTACTCGGTTACATATATATGCCATAATAGTTTTGTTGAGACCATAGACAATCCTTTTCCAACCGATACACAGTGGAAAACGTATTGTATTGTTTATGGACTACTCAAATGATTAGGATACACACACATATATATACTTTCTATAAACTGAACGCAATTGGAACATCACCACTAACATCAGCCGAAATAACTTCATACACAGCTGTTATGATTAGGTCCCATACTTTTTAAAAACTGAAGTGAATCAGAATAACACCGTGTATGCCGCGTAGAACAAAGCCATACACAATGGTTAACTTTTCCATGTGTGGGCAAACACATTATGTACGATTTTTGGCTCCCACGAGACTGTGCTTTGTTATGTTTTTAAAGAGTTATGGAATGAGGTGATTTATAACTATATCATCTCTTGTAATGAAACTGTGGCATGGCCTTCTAAAATGACTCTTCCCTGATAGAATACTGTTTATATAAGAATCTGATGTCATAGTTCTCAACTATATAGTTTTGGAAGAAAACGTCGAGTACATGATTCGTGGAATTAGTGCACAATTTTCGAAGAAGCATTGGAAGATTGTTTCCATGATCCAGAAGATCTAAAAGTTTTTATGATCGCCAAAATAGTTTTTCTTCATTAGTGCTATAGAATCATATATCCAATCAATAATACTTGTCTCAAATTACTCAAATTATATTTGTTTATGGTTTTTAATTGAAAAATCTATATTTTTACTATATATGTATATAGCACATTATGTGAATATATTGCCCCCTCTTTTGATATGGCAGATACATACTTAATGGGACTTTAGTCAATGTTATAGATTTGAGTAATAATAATATAATATATAATATATATAGTTTTTCTTTTTTATTTTTAATTTAATTGCAGTTCTTAAACTTAACGATGTTAGCGATGTCGAAACATCTTCGGTTACCCGCTTAAGTTTGGTTTTATATTTCTAAAATTATTTTATGACTGATTGAAATTTAAAATTTCATCAAAAAAAATCATCAGCAGTAAACAACCCGTACCGCTTCAAGAGACATCATATCGCATTAAAATGTTAGTAATTAATTAATACTTAATCACTATTTCCGTGTCTGAATTTTGATGACACTAATAATACATATCAAATACATGAAACATTCATGAAACATTCAAATGACTAAGTAATTTTTCTAGTATTTGGATTATTATTTATAAGTATTATGGCTAATATTCGCGCATCTCTTGTATTGAGAATACTAAGCAAATGAACACAGCAACAATGACACATGCACTTTGTTTGGGTTCACATGGCTACGAAATGCATTGCAGCAGTGGGTCTTTTCGAGACTCTACATTGCAGCGACTTAGTTACAAAACTTAGCTAAGTCAAAACAAAAACAAAAATTTTGCAACAAAGCCCAGTGCAACATTGAGCGCAACTTGAGTACAACATTGAGCGCAACATGTAAATTATCACTAATACAAAACTAAGTGCAGCTGCACTTAAAATGTTTACAATGAATGCAATGTACAATGCACTATAGCATGTGGTAAGTGTATTCAGCAAGATAAATATTTAAATTTTGTTTTTAAATTTAATTATAAAGAAATGCAAATTATTAGACTAACGTAATGATTTTTGAAAAATGTTTATTGTTTACTTATTTATTTACATTTATTTATTTATTTATTTAAAATTATCTCTTGTATTTATTATAATATCAATTATGAAAAAGTTTTTCGAACAGTAGTGAACTACAACAACAAAAATTATTTTTTATGTTATTTTAATTAATTGAATTTTTAACTGACCATACAAATGTTTCGAGTATTTTCAAATACCCATCATGAGAGTGGTACTCGTAAATAATTTTTTGAGACTTCAAGTACCAGGAATCGAACTCAATTTTTGTTTTATCAATATTATCAATATTATATCTGCAACAAAAGCTAGCACAGCATGCCTCTAATCTCATTTGCTGCAGAAAAAATTTTAACATACATTAATAAACTGTTTATAAACATTTGTTACCAGAGACTTGTTGCCGGCAACATTTGCAAAGCAATAAAAAACTCATACAAAATTCTTATTGCTACGGTGTGTATTTCTGTATTTCTGTGTTGCTCAGTGAAAACAAATAAACAAATGAGCTCTAAATGTGTTTGCTTGGCTCTCAGTGTTGTTGTGCTGCTGTAATATTAGAATTTTGCTATTGCTTTTGAGTTTCCTTTGTTTCATTATTTGCGTTTGTTGCCAGCGCTATGCTGTATTGCCCGCTGTTTTGTTGATGTTTAGGCTTTTTTGCCAGCGCTCGTGGAGCATGTTTAGTGAAATGAATGATTTTATATTTCAGTTCTTATTGGATTGTTCAATGAGGTGGTTGTTGCCACGTTTCGTGCGCTTGCATTTTGCTTATACTTTCGTGTTTGTTGTTTTGATATATTTTGTTGCCGCCGCCGCCGCTGCTGCTGCTGCATAATGTATTGAACGTAAAACGTGAAGTGTTCGCATGTGTACGGGAAACATATTTGCCACTGAAGATTTAATGTAAACTTCTTTGTTATTCTTCTTGTGATTGTGCCAGACTGAGTGACTGAGTGACTGACTGACTGACGGACTGACTCGTGCTGCTGTTTTTGTTGAGTGCGGAGTGTTTGTTTGGATTTCGAGTGTCGTGTTTGAAACGTTACAAAGTCGAATACTAAATGTGCTACTGATAACATTTAAATTCATTCAAACGCATAAAATTCTAATTCATATGAAATTTTAATAATAATTATAATTATAATTATAAAAATAAAATAACGAGAAAAACAAAATAGAAAATGCACAAGTATTTCTAAAAGATGCTTTCGCTGACAAACATCTGATTTTCAAAAACCATAAATATTTGAAAAACAAAAAAAACGATAATTAAGAACAGAACAGAACGGAACAGAAACAAATAAAATTTTAAATAACAAAAAAATTTTTAAAAATTTACAAATAAATAAATTAACACAAAACACAAACAAGAAAGATAAAAAAAAAAACAAAAATTGTAGGAAAATAAGAACAAGTTTGTTTTTTTAATTATTTTTTGTTATTAAGTGTTTGTGGTGTTTGTTGTTGTTGTTATTGTTGGTGTTGGTGTTGGTATTATTTTTGTTTAATATTACAAAAATTTGATGCCAGTATTTTTCTTCATCTCCGTCTTCGCCTTCGCCTTCGTCTTCGTATGCGTTTGTTAAAACACAAAGCATAAAACACAACAAACGTCAAGCAAATTACATATTTTGGAAGTCATAATCGCCAGAACAGCACAGCACGTACGGCCCTTGTTTGACTCTACTTGATTCGAAGGTCCAAAGGTGAGCTACAATAATTATTTATTAACTAAAAAGAATTAAAAGAATAGAAGCCATTAAAGACAAGAAGACAAGAAAAATAGAAAACATTATTTCTATGTTAAAAGATTACAAAATTCAAATTATAAATTTGAATGTTGTTTTTGCACTTTCTCACTTTCCCACTTTCACACTTTTCCACATTTCCATTTTTTAGGGGTAACAAAATACTCTGCATCTCTATGCCACACAAACTATTCGTGTGCTCTCACCACCCCGCCGCGCCGCTGCTGTTGTCTCTCTATCGCATGCACTCTTCTACTGTGGTACACATTCATATGGTGTGTGATAAGTGCCTTACGGGTTCAGCAGTTCAGCGCTTCACTGCCTCCTCCAAAAAAACAAAAAAAAACTATTCGTAACTCTTCAGCAATCGGCGTTTCCTCTTCTCTCAAATTCTCCCATCTTCAATCAATTTGCACTTCCACTTTCAATTCGTTTCCCCATCAACATTTCATCACCGTTAATTGATTAACCTAGGGACTTTTATTTTGGGGCCTGCAACTTGATATGTATTTTGTTTTCGTCACAATT